GTTCGGTCGCGCTAGCGCCGCTCTAGAACCTTTCTGGACATAATTGAACGCTACTTCTTGGTGCGTCTGGTCATCCTGTTGTCGCGATTCGGTCACGCTAAAAACATTACCATGATGAAGAATAGTATCATCTGTGCGTCCGGTCATTGCTTCGCTCAGCGTTCGGTCACTACTGTTGATGCCTGCTATTGCCGAGCAATAGATCGGCCGCGTTCGGTCCTCATAGGGCCGCATCCGGTCACCTCTGTGGAGCTCATTTCTTCGTGATTTTGCGTCCGGCTTGGTTTCTATCTTCGTGTTTGGACTTTCCTTGATATCTTGGGTCTTCTCTTGTGCTTCTAGGGTCTTGCTTATGGTATTGATCATGGGATCATCATGTTGTATTCATTCAAGTCACGTCTTGCACCCTTTTGAACTACAAAACAATTACTTACAAATTCATTAGTCCAATTTGGTTGTGTTGGTCATCAAACACCAAAATCCAAAGTAAATGGGCCTAGGGTCCATTTTCCTTACAACCCGGTGAAAGGTCCTAATGGCAAGAGGGGGGTGAATAGCCTAATAAAATTTCTACAACACTTAACAAAAGAATTAGACAATTATGAGGCGAAGCGAGTTTTGCGCTAGCCTACCAAAATGCAAGCCACCTACCACAATTCTAGTTTAGATGGAGTATATCCACACAATAGCTATATCACTACACTAAGTTAGTGTGCTCTTAAATGCTAACTAAAGAGCCACACTAACAAAACTAACAAGCTCTCACAACTAGTTACACTAAAGAGCTTGACAACTAGTTTGCGGTAATATAAAGAGTAGGCAAGAAGGTTATACCGCCGTGTAGATGTATGAACCAATCAATCACAAGTGTGGATAATAATGAAGACCAATCACCTCGGAATCAATGATGAACACAATAATTTTTACCGAGGTTCACTTGCTTGTCGGCAAGCTAGTCCTCGTTGTGGCAATTCACTCACTTGGAAGTTCACACGCTAATTGCTTCACATGCCAAACCCTCAATAGGGTGCCGCACAACCAACACAAGATGAGGATCACACAAGCCACGAGCAATCCACTAGAGTACCTTTTGGTGCTCCACCGGGGAAAGGTCAAGAACCCCTCACAATCACCACGATCGGAGCTGGAAACAATCACCACCCTCCGCTTGACGATCCTCGCTGCTCCAAGACGTCTAAGTGGCGGCAACCACCAAGAGTAACAAGTGAATCCCGCAGCGAAACATGAACACCAAGTGCCACTAAATGCAAACACTCAAGCAATGCACTTGGATTCTCTCCCAATCTCACAAAGATGATGAATCAATGATGGAGATGAGTGGGAGGTCTTTGGCTAAGCTCACAAGGTTGCTATGTCAATGCAAATGGCCAAGAGAGTGAGCTTGAGCCGGCCATGGGGCTTAAATAGAAGCCCCCACGAAATAGAGCCGTTGTACCCCTTCACTGGGTAAAACACGGGGTGACCGGACTCTGAACCCAGCGTCCGGTCGCCCGATGTCAGCCATGCGTCCCACTGCGTTCAACAGGAGTTGTCTGATCTCAACGATCATCTGTTGACCGGATGCTCCACTACAACTGACCGTACGCTCAGCCTCCAGCGTCCGGTCATTTCCAGTAAGGTTCCAGAAGCGACTTTTGCCGACCGGACATAGCTAGCGTCCGATCACTGGTTGACTTCACACTGCGCTGTTGGTCAACACGACCGGACACATCCCTCCAGTGTCCGGTCGCAGAGCGACCCAGCGTCCGGTCGTTTGACCGACACGCAGCGTCTTCGCTGTTACAAATGACCGGACGCGCTGGTTCCACTGAAACCAGCGTCCGGTCACTTTGTGACCAGCGGGACCAACTCCTCTTCACGTCTATCTTCTTCACCCTTACTCAAATGTGCCAACCACCAAGTGTATCACCTTGTGCACATGTGTTAGCATATTTTTCACAAATATTTTTAAGGGTGTTAGCACTCCACTAGATTCTAAATGCATATGCAATGAGTTAGAGCATCTAGTGGCACTTTGATAACCGCATTCCGATATGAGTTTCACCCCTTTTGATAGTATGGCTATCGATCCTAAATGTGATCACACTCATTAAGTGTCTTGATCACCAAAACAAAATGACTCCTACAATTTATACCTTTGCCTTGAGCCTTTTGTTTTTCTCTTTCTTCTTTCCAAGTCCGAGCACTTGATCATCACCATGACATCACCATCATCATGTTATGATCTTCATTTGCTTCACCACTTGGAGTGTGCTACCTATATCATGATCACTTGATAAACTAGGTTAGCACTTAGGGTTTCATCAATTTACCAAAATCAAACTAGAGCTTTCACCCGGCTGCGCGCCAAAGCAGGCCACGACGACCGGTGACGACGCGCCCGTGGCCGCCGCGTGACAGCGTGAAGTCGTCCCCCGACCTCGGTAGCCGCCACACACACGGGCCCGATGGAGACGGTGTGGAACGCGGCGTGTGTCGGGTCGCTGCCGTCCTCCTCGAATGGGTCCAGTGAGGTGGGCTCGCCGGCATGGACAGTCGTGTCCGCTGGCTCAAAGGCACCAGATTCATGGGAGGGGGGCCGGGTCCGAACCTAGTGGACGTGGATCCGGTGCACCGTTGGCCATCTTGCTCACCGCCGGCGTCCTCGAAGAGGAGCAGCGTGATGGGCTCGCTGGCGCGGGCGACCGTGTCCGTTGGCCCGAAGTCGCTGGATCCAGGGCAAGGGTCACTGGATCTAGACCCAGGGGATGCGGATCCGGTGCCCGTTGGTCTCTACTTGCTCTCGTCGCCGGTCATCTCGGCTGACATGGAAGTAGAGAAAAGCTTGGGGAAGATGGGAGAGGGTGGGGAAGGGAGGCGGTGCGGAGGCCGCCTTGTTGAGCGGCACCGTAGGCCACGGCCGCCGCTCGTCGGCGAGCAGCAATGGCGGCCGAGGTAACTGGTTGGTGGGGGGACGAGTGCGGCGACGCTGGGAGTCGCCCCCCGAGTCGCCTCGGAGAGACGACGCGGGGGAGGGAGTGTCAAGAAGAAAGTTAATTGACTACTGTCTCAAGTAGTGATTGACCAGCCCTTTTAGGTCCGTTTCGTTTGGTTTGAAAGTTCCATACCAACCGGCTGGTTCCCCTCACATTTCACTGTTCATCAAACCAGCCGAATAATGATTTCTCTCTCACACAATCAGCAAGTTTCAGCCAAGTTTCAAATCGAACGGGGCCTTTATACGACCAAAACATCCATCCATCGATAGCTCAAGTCTTTCCAAAAAAAATCCAAGGAGCCATTACCTAGTGATTTCAGACCTGCAGGCCATGGTACTCTAGCGCGCTGTTGGACATGGGCCTTGTTTAGATTGGGGTTAGGAATCAGTATTTGGCACTGTAGCATTTTCGTTTGTATTTGATAATTATTGTCCAATCATAAGCCTAACTAGGCTCAAAAGATTTGTCTCGTAATTTATAATCAAATTGTGTAATTAGTTATTTTTTTATCTACATTTAATACTCCATACATATGTCCAAAGATTTAATGTGATGGAGAGAGCGAAAAAACTTACAATCTAAATAAGGCCATGATCTAACCACATTTGTTTGTGTTTTTGGACGGAAAACAGAGGGAGTAGATGTCATTTAATTCTATGGAATCGGGTTGGGTGGCACAGCCGCTGTCCGCTATTCGTACGGTCTTTGGGAGAGCACAGGGTCTGGTTCCTAGCCTTGGCCCTTGGCAATGCCCTCGTGCTCAGCTCAACAGCTCTGATGCTAGCTTTTGTAGCCCTTGATAGGTTCAGCTCGTGCCTACAGCTACCGGTCCTTGTGGTGTGGAGGAACGACTGGTCTCCTACCAAGCAAACCGAAGGGCGTCGTCGCGCTCGCGTCGAAGCTGTGTGTGATATGCCAAGACTGCAGCGAGGAAGCGACACGACCCAATGGAGAGATCCGTGTCGGATCCTGCCCCGCACCGAAAGCCCCCAACGGCGCCGGCCGGCCTACTAGCACACACCACCGCGCATCCTGAAACGAAACATGGGCCGCGCCGGACCGGACGGGGCGACAGGGAGACGCCGAAACGACGTCTCGCGCGGGGACGCGACGCGTCTCCTGCGCTGCGCCACACACCCACCCCCACCTCGGCCCCGCCCGCGGCCGCGGCAGCACGAGCGAGCGCCGGTGGGTGAAGCAGCGAACTGGAGGTGCAGGCGCGGCGTGCGGCAGGCCCGGCCCCTGCAACGGCAGGTCGTCGAGCCCCCGGCTGGCTCCGCCACCGCGTCCACCGGCACACGGCCGCGCCGCAGGGCGCAAACGCAAATGGCAGCATGTTCGGCTGGCTGGTTCGTGAACAAATACTTCTAGCTGGTTTGTGTGAGAGAAAAATAACGTTCCGACTGAAAATTTTACGATCGTTTACGACGAACCAAAGTCAAACGAACGTGCTGATTCAAAAATGTGGACTCCACTCCACTCCACCCACCGATCACGAAGCCCACGCCACGCACGCGTTGTCACTCGCGGCCGCAAACAAAAATGTGGCCGCCGTTGCAACCACAAAGGGCGAGACTGGACCAGAACACTGCGATTAGTTGTCGTATCAAAGAAATGACACAAGCAGATCATAGCGAAATCCGGCATGCTTCCAAAGGAGAGGATTTTCCAGGCACCGACTCCGAACCTTCGCAGGTACGGACGGAGTGCTGCTAGTAGCATTACTCACTGATAACGGTGCGATTAGGAGACAGTGCAGCTACAACAGAGACTAACAATGAAAATGACAGATATGACCCTCCGTGGCACGGCCGCGTCACAGGAGGCAAGGAGGTTAACATGGGAACTGAGGGTTCTACTTGTAGTAGTACGTAGCTAGTGAAGGGGACAGTTACCTAGAGCTAATTAATTGCCACTAAACCCTAGTGATTAAAAGGAGGAGCTCCTTAGCGCGTGGGGAACCGAAGAGTGGGAGAGTGCCTTGGGTCGGCGGCGGGGTCGCTAGACGCTGATCGGGGACGGGGACGGGGAGGAGACGGCTGCGCGGGGCGGGGAGTCGTCGGTGTCCTCGTCGTCTCCATCGCCGGTGACGCCGACGCCGGTGCCAGCGGCGGGGTTGACGCCGATGCCGATGCCCGCGGCTGCAGCTGCGGCTGCGGCAACGGCGGAGGTGGGGGAGGTGGAGGCGAGCTGGTTCTTGTGGTTGTGCATCCACACCTTGAGCACCTGGCGCTTCACCCCGATCTCGTCGCAGAAGCGGTCGAGGGCGCCGTCGTCGTTCCGCTGGATGCGCCAGCCCTGCTTCTCCGCGAACTCGCGCATCCGCTCCTTCTGCTCCGGCGTGAACTTGGTCCGGAACCGCTTCCGCCCGAAGCTGCCGCTGCCGCTGCCCCCGCTACCCCCGACGCTCCCGGGCACGAAGCCGACGCCGAAGTCGTCCGTGCGCGGCGGCGTCTCGGAGCCGGCGCGCGTGGCGAGCCACGGTGGGGGCGGTGCGGCGATGGCGGCGTTGGGCACGGCGTGGAATGGCAGCGCGAGGTGCGGCGGCGCCGGAACGGGCACCGGCACCGACGGGAACAAAGCCTGCAGCGCGGCGGCCGCGGCCTGGTGGTGGTGGAAGTGCTGCTGCTGCGGCGCTGGCGGCGCGGGCAGCGCGAGCGGCGGCGTCAGGTGGTGCGGCGTGCGGAAGAAGACGGGCGGCGCGCACGACGAGCCCGCCAAAGCGGCGGCGGTCCCCGTGGCGCGGCGGTGGAAGCTGCGGTGGCACCCGCAGGCCGCGCACTTGAGCGAGTCCGGCGAGGAGGCCATGTACTCGCCGCAGCCGTCGAAGGCCTGCCCGCCCATGGTCGCCGCGTGGTTGCGCATGCACTCCTTGTACTTGCCGCCGGCCTCACCGTCGTAGGGTACCAGGCTCAGGTGATCCATCATGTCCTCCGTCGTCGCGACCCAACCGAGCGGTCCGGTGGTGGGCTGGCGGCCCCTCGCGCGCGTGGCCGCTTGCCCGCGTGTCCGTGCGTCTGTCTTCCTCCCGCTCCCCGTCTCCCGCCCCCGGCCGGCCTGCGCCTCCCTCCACCTGGCTCTCTCGCTCGCAGTCGGCAGTCGACAGGCAGTGGGGGGCGGGCGGCAGGGTATGGATTTTTATCCGCGCCGCGCGTGGGCGTGGGCGTGGCGTCGCGGGGCTCGGTCGCTGTCTCAGCTTCAGCTCAGCCCCCGCGTGCCCGGCACGAGCACAGCGGTTAACCTTAACACACACAGCCGCTGTCAAACGCGGTAGGATAGGATGCTTAAACGTGGCGTGCGGAGCCCCGGCCCTGCGGTCGCCACGTGAGGTCGGTTCACGCCCGCCCACTGGGTGCGCGGTAACAGTAGCGGCCGTGCTGGGTTTCGCTTCGCCGCGGGGGGTCCCGCCACGTTGGGTGCGGCGGTGGTGGTGTACTACCGCGGTGGTGCGGCGGCGTCAGACGAGCGAGGCTTGCCGGGTAAGCAGCTGCCCGGACGGACGGACGGCGCTGATACGATCGGACGAGGCCACGAGGGGGGGGCGGTGAGGTATGGGCGAACAGCCAGCCGGGGGCATTGGGTTGTCTTGTCCACGGGATCCTCTGCGCCGACCGTGCTCTCGTGGACGGACGGACGCACGGGGACGGACTCGTGATCACTGATCAGCTTACGCGCGGCTGCGGCTGCGGCTGGATCTCTGACGAAACATGCGTGAAGTGAGGAAGCTGGCTTAAGCGGCAGGCAGGGCCATGGATGCATAAATTGCAGTCTCCGTTCATTGATGGTGATCACACGACGCTTACACCTGCATTGATCGCGGGCTTATCCCCACCGACGTCAAGCACGCGTGCACAGTACAGCTTGCTCGCTGCTGCTTGAGAAGGCAGGCCGCTGGGTGGGGCGCAGTAAAGGCGAGGGGGATCGAGGGGATCGGATATGCTGCGTCGTCCGTGACATGATTCGTACGTACAGAGAGATCTCTCCATCGTGACAGGATTGGATTGGATTCCTCCCACGGGCCACGGGCCACGGCACAGGCCGCCAGCCAGTTTTGTGCTTGCGCGCGTGCGCCGTACGTGCTCGCTGCGTCCGGCCGCGTCCATCCGAGTGGAGTAGTAGTACGGTAGCAGGCACTAGGCAGGCAGGTGGTGAGCAAAGCAAATGCGATGCTTATCTCGAACGGATATTTGCCGCTCACGGGTGATGATCTGTTCTGACCCCTCAACTGAACTGAACCCCGGCCCGGCTACGCGTGGGTGGCGCCAGCGGCGGTTGATGGAATCGGGCCGGCAATTAATGGCTCGCCCATGCGTCGTCCTCCTGCCTCCTCCCGCTCTCCCGGTTTCCTCACGGAGGCAACGGCTCGCAGTGGCTGCCACGAGCCCACGAGCGGGCATGACACGGTGCTGAATGTGATCACTGCTTGCCTATAGATACCATCGCTACGGTGCTGAGCTTGGAGCTTGGACCAGCTTTTTGTGCCGTGTGTTTGATCCATCCGGATCATGATGCCTACTCCTGTGTACTGTACCGGCTACGAAAACGAAAACAAAAACAAAAAACAAGAATACTCCTAGTATAGTAGCTCAGCCAGACAGCAAAGGGAACCACGGCGATAATAGACGACACGGCGCTGCACGCGGACCACGCCGATCCACAGGCGGATGGAGACGGGCGGCAGAGGTTGTGCCTGCAGCGGCAGCAGTGCTACCAGCAGCCAGTTCTTCTCACCCTACTGTGCCCTCGTCCCGTCTACTCTCCCTCGGCACCCGTCTTGTCCGTCCTCGCACCGGGCCTCTACTGGCTTTCGGTTTTGTTTGCTTGTTGCGATCAAAAAGCTGCCGCGCGGCCATCATCTCGCCCCCTGCTCCCTCGTGAATTTGCCTTCCAACGCTGACGGACAGATTGATAGAACATGAGCTTTTGCCCCCTCTCGCCTGGCTCGGCCCCTCCATGCCTTTTCCCCCATGCATGCAATGCAATGCAATGCAACTGAGTCCTTGTTTAGTTACACCTAAAATTTCAAAAAGTACTATAGTACCTGTCACATCGAATATTTACGGCTTATGCGTAGAACATTAAATGTAGACGAAAAAAAACTAATTACAGTTTGATGGAAAATTACGAGACGAACGTTTTGAGCCTAATTAGTCTATATTTGAACACTAATTGCCAAATAAAAACGAGCGTGCTACAATAGCCCTAAATTCCAAATTTGTGGAACTAAACAAGGGCTGACCTGGCACCAGGCTACCACTGGGCACGTCTTGGAACTTGCGACCACGATCATCATACATTGGGTGGTTCTCTTTGATCCAGGAGTACGGAGTACTCCGTAGGAGTACAAGGTTTCACGATACGGAGCTCTTCTATTTTATTTTAGATAATAATTTACAATACATCCATCCTAGCAAAAATGTAACTCTAGAGTCCGTTTGATACGGCTCAAGAGGCAAGACAGCTTCAAGCTCCTCTTGGCAAAACACTGTGGCAAGTCCTGACATAACTGTGTAGCAACACTGTTCGCTGCTGTAGCAAGAAATTGTTTCGCAAACCAATTCACCAAAGCGAAAATTAAAACTAAAAGGAGGAGCACACCGTAGCCCCGCAAAGCCTCACCGAGCCCTTAGTTATTCATCATTTAACTGTCTAAAGTTTTACCAAATTTCTAAAAACATATCAATCTTTATAGTTATAATAAAAAATCTAATAATACTTATTTCATATGGTATATATATATATATATTATGTTTTACAAATTTGGTTAAATTTAAAATAATTTGACTCGGTGCTATACTAGAATTATCCTTTTAGATACAAATAGTATACTTGAGTTAAATGCATGAGCAGTCCCTAAATTTGTCAGGGGATATCATTCAGATCCACAAACTTTGAAAATACATTTATAGATCATTAAACCTATTAAGTGGTGCACCGCAAATCTATGATAGCCACGTAAACATTTTGAAAAGAAGGGAGGATGAATATTGTCAATGCCACAGTGTGCAATGCTACTTCGGATAAAATGTCCATATGGCTGATATGGACTTGCACTGCACCACTTAACAAGTTTAGTAACCTAGAAATAAAATTTGAAAATTCATGGACCCAAAGTGACACCCTTTGACAAGTTTAAGTACATTCAGTATACTTCATAGAACTTTGTTGTCAAAGTCACACGTTGGAGACCAATATTGATATTTTTTTAGCTGACTTAAAGCATAGAAGTTGCTTGTGACAGATAATACGTTGTGTTGTTCAAAGTTTACTATCGATTAGGGCATTCTTGCTTCCTTGCTAAACTTGTATAAGGTGGCTTATAGTTGGTTGTAGGAAGCCAAAACCAACAATGCTCTCGATTGTTAGTTGTGGATGGCAAACAACCCCCCCCCCCCCCCCACCACCACACACACACACACCAAAAAGCTCATTTTGGGCACCATATAGGTTTATCATAAGGTAGGCTCTTTGTTTAACATATGAATTTGTATAAGTCCGAGCCTCTGAGGGTAAAACAGGGCCTTAGTTAGAACTTATGGTCATGTAGGTTAAAAAAAAACTTAGCCAGCGGGAGAAATCGCCCCGGTATTGTTTGGAAGAAAAAGATTTTGTTTGTTAGGGCCTCTCCTCAAAGCTCCTCTATAGTAGTGGAGCTGTTTTGGATAAGTCATAATTAATCGCTTCTCTAAATGTGCTGTCTTTTTTTTTCACTGAAAAAGCGACGTATCCTACTAAACTATTTGGTAAGACTTTTTCGTAATAGTTGGAATAGAAGCTGGAAAGGAGGCCTATCAAATGGGCCGAAAACGTCTCAATCTTAATAGTCGCCCCATAACCTAGGCCGCCAACCACAGCCAAGTTTGGTGCCCCATCACTGCTCTTAGTTAGGACTGTAATGCTCACACAGACTGACGGCCATCGTTCTCACGTCTTTAATTATAGGCTGTGAGCGAGAGAGGGTTTCAACTAACCCCAAAACTTGCTTCCCCGGAACACGATTCGAACGCTGAAGGTAAAGGTGTTTGCTTTGCATGCACGTAGGTTGAAACTCTGCAAATTCTCCACAACGATACTGTGTACTATTGTTGACACTTGATTATGTCACCACACCACGATACTGTGTAATGTGGACTGTATTTCGGTGTTCAACAATGTCATTCTATCGTTGTTCGTTGAGGTATGAGGAGTGCTCTTTCGAACGTTGTTGGCGGTAATACGACATGCAAGGTCAGCAAGCAGCAAGGATCATATGAGGAAATCAAGCTTTGGATTTATTCATAATCTTTTGATATAAAAGCACTGGATTTTTAACGCACCATTCCAAAGGCCAAAAGCACATGGTCCTGGAAAAGGGACGTTGCACTGTAGCCAACAATGACAGGACGGGCAGCTCCTAAAATCTAACCTTGTTTCTGACAAGGGTCAAAGGTTACCAGCCACTAGGAGTCACGCCAGCCATGATTAGCCGCTGCACTGATTGCAGCTCAACCGGGATTCCCAATCGGGAGCCCGTGTCGCAAATTGGAGAGCCCCTTTTTCAGCTTGTCCGTTCTTGGCGAGTCTGGGACAGAATTATAATCCGCTCAGCCTTTCGTTCTCCTTTTTCTTTGAACGGATTGTTCATGTAGTTTCGACTTGCCTGCATTTACATGCTGTACCTACATTCAGTCACTCTAAACTCCAACTAACCTGGTTTCATCCAACCAGTAACGGTGTACCAAGCGCCTCCAGGCTCCAGCAATGGCCGGGACCATGGACGCCACAGTTCGTACATGAAAGCTACAGTTACATGAGCACATGACTACATGAGTACTTCCATGTAAGATACAGGCGTATAGCACGGGACACCACGATGCACGACGTCGTCCTCCAGCCGCAGGATTGGCCAGAGAAAAAGCTTGTCGCCGGCGAGGACGACCTGCTCTGTA